TATACAGTTTTTTAGTATCCATATACATTTACATTAGACATTTAAAATTTATTCATGCTTACTTTGATTTGTTTAAAAAGTTTGACCTCTGACTATAAAGCACAAACCCCTTTTGGTTTACGCCAATTTGTAACAATGAGCACGAAATCATTCCCGTTCTGAATCTACTATATAACCGTAGTCAACGAAACACAAATCGAACCTCAACCCTCCCTATCCCATTACTAGTTTCAAATTTCTCTATTATTTCTCTGAATTGTCATATTTTTTCATGTTTTCTTTTGGCTTATATTATTTTAGCATAAAAATATTAAGCCTAAGACCCTATGATTTTTTCAGCCAACCAGAAAAAAAATAGTTAACTACATTGGTCGCAAATCAAATCTTTCGAAATGTTTACATTTCGAGAATACTTTTCTTACCATTAATACTTTTACCTCTCTCTTCTGTTTCATAGGGCCCTTCTGTTTCACTTATCTGAATACTCAAACGTGAATTTGACGACTTCACATCCGATGCGCCTGCTGTCGTAGTGGAGATATTAGCCGTGAACCGATTATCCCGTAGAGATATAGTTCCGCTGTAGTTCTGATTTATATTTGTTAGGAGTATATGTAAAGATTAGTCAATAAGTGATGGGTTCAAAGACTTTGGTGTCTCGCTTTCTTAGTGAGTTCTAGAGAAGTTGTGTATCCTCACCTTCCTTCTAAGATGCTATGATGCTCAAAAAATCCATTCTGATTAGCTGGCCGCGTTCTCTCCTCTTTTTTCAACCGGATCGGCTACAGCGGAGTTACCGGTAAAAATAAATAGCAATTTAAAAGATAAATATCCCTCAAAGTCCCGCATTTCATTACAAAAAAATGTGTATTAAATCACTTTTATAATACGATGATGTTACTGAGTTTTGAGTAACAACAGAAACAACTGAACAAACAATAAAAACAAAAACTCATATACGGATATTTATGTATAATTAATTTAGTTCTCCAATTTTTAAGGGAACACTAAACATCATTTGCACGGACTTTAAAATCAAAAATTCAATTGACTTTCATAACTTTCAGAATTATACGTTGTCTGGATTATCGACTATCTGATTTACCGAACCAATACAGTATATGATTTCAATCATATATAAAAACTTAAAACATATTATTTTACAAACATAATGTAATTGTTTATATATATATTTGTCATATTATTTTATATATTTTACTGAGTATGTATTTAAATATTTATCAACGAAAATATATTAATTGTAAATGGCAACAAAACATGTTAAAATGAATCTGTCCGTCCTTTTCAAAAATTGGAAAATCGTGAACTGAATACATAAAAAATACTAAATATTTTTTACGAAATTTAAAATCCAAACTGTGTTATTATTAGTTTACAAAAAATAAAAAAAAACATTGAAACATTAACTCTATTAGTGAATACAAGCGCACAAGTCCTTTCATTCATTGACCTTTTCTTAGCATCATCCATCTATTGTTCTTACCTAGTCTACGCTGTTATTCACTTTTAAGTTCAATGACTCCGAAAAAAAGGCAATTGAATGGTTTTGGGAAAGAAATAAGAATTTTGGCGGGAATATTTACTTTAAATAATTTTTATTTTTTTTGGTAAACTATCGTTACTTCTGTTATTGGTACAGTTTACTATACTATTTCATTTATTTAAGTACTTTTTGGTTTTGACTTCTAAATAGGAACCATTAATATTTTGTACACATCTGAAAATAATTTCACTCTGTCTTCAGTTCATTGCCTTTTAAGGATTTGGCGGGAAAATATTAAGTACAGTCTTTGAATGCAATGTATAATTATTTTAGAAATCGTTTACTTTAAGAAAACCAATTTTTTAATAGAAACCTCTTATTGCTCTTAGAAACAAATTTTAAAGAGCAATAATTAACATTTAATATTCAATTTTTGGTACTTCACTCATATAGAATGTATCGAGCAACTCCTAAGAATTGTATAAAATTTAATAAATTGTTTAAAAAATAAAAAATTTATTTGTTTCTTTTAAATTGAATTTGAAACATCAGCCACATAATTCCAAGGTCAATTCCATACAAATTTCAGATATTTTATCAACTGACAAATAATATAACAGATCAGGACAAGTGGCACCAAGCCACGCCATACCAGAATGTTTGATTCCAGATATGTTAGAATGCATACAAAAAATACATAAAAAAAACTAAAAATAATCTTCAAGTCAAAAGCAAAACGTGTAGAACTGGTAGATTTAATTTTTTGCAAATTAACATTAAAATTCGTCTCCTCAGAAGTGTTTAGACATTATAATTAAATTAAAAAAAAATTTTATAACAAAGACTGACATTATTATTAAAGGGATCTCTAAATATTTGATCAAACGACTGAAAGCGAAACGTGTGTTCTAGAAGTTGTAACATTGCGTTCACTTATCCTTAGTATATAATATATAAAATAGAATTCAGTTCATTATTTTTATAGATTATAAATAAACGGAAGTCTGGCATCTAGTCTTAAAGAATATGTAGAGGAACTCTGCTAATTCAGATCCATTAAAATTACAATCAATTCAATACTGAGCCAATCAGATTGCTGAAATCATCTTTCCTGGATGATCATATATTTTATATGTATACTTTAACAAGAGAAAATGAATAAAAACTGAATAATAAGAATAGTTATCCAGTTATCCAAATAATCTAATAATCCAAAGAATAATAAATCACATTTCAACGAATTAATCCATATATTAAATAGCACGTCTACATGATAAATAACAAAATGTATAAGTATTCGTATATAGTAAAGAACACATTAATTTCACTAGATTATCGGTGTTCAGGGATAGCAAATCAGTGATCGACTTAGACTATAAGATACATAATGTACTGTTTAAATTTTCTAATTTTATCTAAATTACCCGCAAATTCAAATTACCCGAGACTCAAACTAGCAAAGTTCGATTGTATATTGGATGAATGAATTTTATTTAATGTATGTATATAATAATAATAATGAATTGAGAAATTCCATCATAGCAAATTAAAATTAAAAATTAAACAAGGACATGCCACTTTTCTGATTAATCCAATGAAGTAACCTATAAAAGTTATGCTAATATCAGTTAAAGATAATATCAGTTACCTGTTAAAGATATCCAAATATTAGTCGGGTTAGAATTCCCGGCTCAGATTTAACCCAGACAATTGCAAAACAACATGACTGGATGTCGTATCTGCTTCTAATTAGATCTGACATTCTGTCTACTCAGACAAACCTATTTTGTTAAGATGGTAATGCATCCCAAGTAATTAATCAACTATCCTACCAACAATCTCCAGTCTGTTCTACTGAGGATGGACGCCATACTGTGTTTTTGATAATAAATCACCTTTTTAGGCTGGTAGCTGAAGTAATGTGCCAATTACAATCTCTTTCGGTTATATACCACTATTCGATCAGGGATCTGATTGTAGCCATACGTTTGAGCAAGTCTTGATTATTGTCAATATATGATGAGGCTTTTCGAATCTGATAAATCGTTAAAGTATTTTACTATTTTAGTAAAAACTTTAGCATCAATTATGTATTCTGAAGTTAGGTTAAGTTATGTTATATGGACCGTTATATTATCACGGACTTTTGTTTAAAGGTGGTTTTACTACCATTGTAATATTAGAATACAAAAAATATTATTAGAAAAATTCACATGTTTCTTTGTACTAATGAATTTAAATTGATTTTAGTGATCAAGTTATGTTTAAATTAATACTTAATGTTATAATGTTTAATATATTTTATTTAGTAACGCCGTTTCAAAGTTTCTTTTAGGTGTTTTTTAAAGCACGTTGGTTTAATAAAATTTTAATTTTTAATCGTATGAGTGGAACTATCTATATCTATAATCAGTAGTCTATTGGAATCAACCCAAATTCTCAAACTCTTACGGTGGGTAACACAGAGTTTCAGCATTCAAATTTCACAGAACTCAATTCTTGATACATGCTTTCAAAAATATACTGACAATCACACCATTAGATGTTTTTACTAGATGTTACTATATTACTAGATATTTAGCCGTATTCGAAATAGCTGTAAAATTTTTGTCATAGGACAGTAAAATTTTTAATTAAAATACCATCCAAATACCTTAAAGACGTCTATATTTAAAAATAATCTACTCTACTATAAATATTTAATCATATCTTTCCAATGGAAGCTAGTAATTGCTGATTCAGTTATGGCTATAGTAATCTACACTTATAGCCATAATTGAATTAGCATCTACTAGCTTCCACTGCAAAGTTATAATAATTTTTTTTTATTGGAGTGATAGTATTAATCGAAAATAATGAAGTTAATTGCTTAATGCATTGCACCCACAACAAATATTTTTCCTACTCCACTGCAGGCTCTCGTAGTAATAAAATTTTACGGGCGATGCAACCAACAATTATGCGGCGTCACTTTGCCAAATGTCGTTGATAACGTGTTTGGAATTGGAATTTATTTTTCTTTTTTGGTGTTGTGACTTTATTATATATTCAGAATTATTTATTTATATTAAACAAGTATTCCAAATGATTTCGCTAATGAGCATATTTATTTCGGCATCCGCGATTTCGACGGCTGCTCAAAATGATTACAATTCTAACTTTATAGAATCTTCAAGTAGATCGTTTCCAGTCACTCACTTGGCATTCTCCAATTTAAATGCGCTTAGCCGTCCGTGTATGATGTGATATAGTTTTTTTTTTGTTTAGATTTTTTAGTATATTGAAATGA